GCAGTATTACCTATGGCTCTTTCAACGGTAAAATACTTTTAATATTTTTGTTGGATAGAGCTCGAAAATATAATTAGTTATTTATTTGTTAATATCTCTGAAATTATCAAAATCTATTTAATAATATCTTAGGATTATACAAAGTGATCAGAAAGAAAATCATCCAGATACAAAGAAGTTAAAATATTTTCTTGAAATACATCCTAGTATACCGGGTGCGTCTCAAAAAATGGCTCACCTTGGGGGTGAGCCAGTTTTATATTAACCAGCTCACCCCTATAACGTTTTTCTATTTACAGATAAAAAACGAGATTTGGTATGTTTGGTATGATTGGTAAATTAGGATTGATTGGACGTATTCAATTCTTTTCAGCCGCTTCCTGTTTCACCGAAAATGACTACAACTAATTAAATGGCACCCTCGGTATTTTTTTACTTTATTTGATAGAAAATGATACTTTGAATAGAATTACATATCATATATCAACTTTTGACATTTTTGTTTGAAACCGAAAACAACTGAATATATTAATCAATCCTAATTTATGTCACATGCATGCTAACATACCAAATGTCGCTTTTTTTATCTGAAAAAATAAATAAGTTATAGGGTTGAGCCACTTTTGAGACGCACCCGGTATAGGTATTGTATTATAGGACGTACAGATGCTCGACGCACTGTTAGGGTGGGGACACACGAGGCGGCTAAAAAGCGGCGTTGGCACTTTGTTGCTAGCCGCATCGGCGGCCGCGGCCGTCCGTGTGTTTTGTGCAATGGAAGTCCCATTAAACTCATTGAAGACCCTACGCAGGCGGCAGAACTTGCGGCGCACAGTGCGTTGGATGGTCATTCTAGTGGGACAATAATCTTGTATTTATTTATTAATAAATTAAGTTGTTCATAAATAAATGAATTTAACTCTATGGTTACTATACAGGGTGGTCCGAATTGTATTCCGGAAACTTCGGCAGCATATTCTGCAGATAAAAATAACTAAAAAAGTTCGTAGAAATGTATGTCCTAAAATTCTTAGTTTCGGAAATACAGGGTGTAGAAGTTTCATTTTTATTTCGATTTTTTTCAAATAATTTGTGAAGTAATAAGTAAAATTTCCCAAATTTAATATTTCAGTGTCAAGTAATTATCTACTTGTCAATAATGACATGTATGGACTATTTTCATTCTAAATATCTTGAGAACGGTTGCTCGTAGCGATTTTTACCAAGAGACATTTTTTACGTAAAAAGTCATGGAAATGTATATTTTTTCACTCCATAGTTTTATACAGGTACGGACGAACAGTTATTACTCTTCAAAACAGTTAAAACACATGTAGGTGGCGCCCTCTACAAGTAGGGGTCATATTGATATCAAAATCAAATTTCTCATGTCAAAAAACCCCCAGACACCAATTTTCATCCAAATATTGATTTTACTTCATAAACTATTTGGAAAAAATCGAAATAAAAATGAAACTTCGACATGCTGTATCTCCGAAACTAAGCATTTTAGGACATACTTTTAAACGAACTTTTTTACTTATTTTTATCAGCAGAATATGCTGCCGAAGTTTCCGGAATACAGTTCGGACCACCCTGTATATTAGACCATTTGCTACGTTCTCAAATTTTATTTAAATCTCAAACAACGCTACTGATGTTTTGTCCCGCTAGACTTACCATCTGTCTCAGTGTATCGCTTCGACGAAAAGCCGCCTCGTGTGTCCTCAGCCTTACAGGACCCTGTATGTTATAATTCCTTATTAAAGGCACTCCTACTCGCATACCTGCATTACGTCTGTGATATATTTCAAGATGGTTTAATCATAGTTATTCATATAAACATATTTATTCGATTCCTTACAATTAATTATATTACTTCCAAGAAAAACAGCTAGTAATATCACAGGCAATATCTTCAATTAACCTTCGTTCATTTTTTTATGAAAAACCTTAAGTTCTTGATTGAATTGTTTCTTATGTTGTTTGATTGTGTTGTGCTTAATCGAATTTTTTGGTTCATTATAAACTGTTCCAGTAGGAAAAGAGGTCAACTTTTTTCCTGTTTAATACAATGTTTTGATAAAAGTACTGGTTATTTGTGATTTGGATGTCTTGGTGGTAAATTCAGTGATCACTGTTTACAGTTAGATTATATTTTCTGAAGTTATTGTATCTGTTCTTGCGGGACTTGTGAAATGTGGCCAAAAATGGATAGTTACAATGTGAAAGAAGACAAAACGGTAATTTATTCATTTCAGACCTTTTATAAATGGTTAGTACCAACGGATATTGTGCTATGATTCTTGTGGAACGAAAAAAATATTAAGATTTACACCATTTGCAATCTTTTTGTTTGCTTTTATATCACCATTGTAATTCGTAAAACAATACTTATGCTTAGCACTGTTCCACCCTAGTTTCATTCGTTTATACAGGGTGAGTCTTAAACAAGTGCAAATATTTTTAGGGGTAGTTTATTTCAGAAACACGTGTATGCGTTTTTTTTGTAAAAAAAAATTTGGAAATTTTTAAAATTTTTTTTTAGTTTTTAGTCAAAAATACATAATTTCTTGATAATATGGCAACATCCGTGGTTCTCAAAATTTAAGCAAAAAATACTTTTTTTTTAATTTTCAAAGTAAAGTAACTCGATTATTTTGGATTTGAAAAACGGTAAAGAGAAAATATGTTTCTGTTATCGAGATTTACCAGCCCTGAAAATATTTCCACTTATATAAGACTCACCCTATATACGAGTATATATAATGGGGTGGTGATGTGTAACAGGTTTGGAGCGTCCTTTGGACTTGGAGGTTCCTGACTATTGCAAAAACTTTTAAAAAAAGAAATGCTTAAAATTTGCAATTTAGTTATTAAAATTACTCTTAACAAAAAAAATACTCTTTACTTAAATACGTTCTATGTAGAAAGTGTCTCTAGTAAAAACTATTTAAAAAACGCAAGACCAAGACCAAGACCAAGACTGGACCTCGCAAGACCAAGATTAGGGTTTCCAAACAGGGATCCCGGTGTATGTTTATCCCGAAATTCCCGTATCCCGAAAATTTCTAAAAATTTAGATGCCCAATCTAAAATGATTCGACTTTATACACTTCAGCCTTTCAAAGATCATATTTTATTTATACTGTGGATATACGATTTTTTTTTAAGGGACCCAAATAAAAAGTTATGTAGAGTATGCTTTTTAGGGCGCCATTTTTAACTCAATTTTGATTTATTTTATATTTATATAAATAACTACAATTTAAAAAACGTTAGCAATAAAACTTATAAATACATATAAATAAATAGTATACGTTATAAAGGCAAAAACTTTCGTTCGAATAAATATTATTTAAATCAAAAACATAAACAGAGTATAAACAATATTAACAAGGAATAATTAAATCCTTAGATACATAAAATATAGAATATAACTATTTGCCAACATTTGCATACACTTAAAAAAAACTTAATCACATTTGCACACTACCGAATGTATCTACATAACAAGAAAAATATGGAGAAATATAAATATAAAAATATCACCAGTGAAAAACATATTAAGAGTGAAGAAAAGAATTAGTAAAAAAAAACAATTTTACGATAAAACAAAGAAAAAAAAATTACTTAGTATTTCATCTCACCATATAAATCCTTGAATTGAGAACAGTATCAGCAAACGATCTGCCCTTCATAATTACCCACAGACGGTTTTACAGTTTTTTAAAAACATATATAGAAGATGTAGTTCTAAGCTCAAATGGTATCATATTCATCACATTTGAAAACGAACAGTATTTAATATTGCCTCTACTGATGATAGTATGAAAATTTGGCGAAACACGCCAATTTACATATCAAGGGGGACAATTTTTGAGGTATTGTTGTCGTGTTACTTTCAACCGCTTGACCCCCAGGGCATCTATCCCTAAAATTTTAAATAGCAACCCCTATTTCTTTTACCATTTTTGTGTTTCTTATAGAATTCTACATAAACGGCATTATTTTATCATTAGTTTATCGAGGGTCACAGTGCAGTACCTCGTATCATTTTTGATAGGATTTTTGCGGAAATGCATATAATATACCTAATTTTACATTAAATTATTATTTTTTTGATGAATAATTATCTTATAGAGCCGAAATATCAATGCTCTATTACCAAATAAAATATTTTAAATTATTTTTGTGAAAATATTGCTAAAATTTGTTAAAAAAATAATAATAAAATTTTATTAAAAATGTAGAATTTTATAAGGAATACAAAAATGGTAAAAGAAATAGGGGTTGCCATTTAAAATTTTAGGGGTAGGTGCCCGGGGGGTCAAGGGATTGAAAGTATCACGACAACAAATGCCTCAAAAATTGTCCCCCTTGATATGTAAATTGACGTGTTTTGCCAAAAAAAAATTTATACTATCATCGGTAGAGGCAATATTAAATACTGTTCATTTTCAAATTGTCACCCAGTATAGTTTTGGTCCAAGGTAATAGAAGCTATGTTGTGTATGTGTTTTTATTGGTTTAGGCAACTGGATAATTTTTTTTATTGCGTGTCTCATAGAGGTGATTCCTTGATAATTTTGCTCTATGAGTGTACAAATTTACCTAATATTTAATCCAGTTTATAGATTTTAGGGGGGGCTAGGGCCTATGGCCACTCTCTGCATCCGCCACTGGCTGCATTTTTAATAAGTATTTCTTTAGATTAAATTTCTCATTCTGAGTCGGAATTCCGGGATTATAGGTACTAATCTCAGTATTTCAAGACGGGATCCCGATCCCGAAAATTGGAAGCCCTAACCAAAACTAAGAGGATCTTGGTCTTGCATATGCTTATCTAAATATTGACCGGTCATTACTGTTAAAAGCTCCGCTTTTACGTCTTTTATCGTAACATATACATTATTATAAATTATAATAATTAATAATCCTGAAGCAAATCCATCATAACAGTAGTATTATATTTCATGAATTTGTGTTTTCTATTTCAGATGAAGAAAAGATCCCTGGCCGGCAACGTCGCCATCGGCTTCGTCCTGGTGGCCTTCGTGCTCATCGCCGTAGCCTTCGCCACTCCCAGCTGGCTGGTCTCGGACTACCGCATCACGGGAGCCCGCCTGGACCGCTTCGGCCTCTGGAGCCACTGTTTCAGATCGCTGCCCGACCCCGTCGACGTCAACCAGCGAAGATTCTTCGTGGGCTGCCGCTGGATCTACGACCCCTTCACCACCGGCTACGACCAGATCCGAGGCTACCTGGTACCTCCGTTCTTGGTGGCCACCCAGTTCTTCTTCACGCTGTGTTTCCTGGCAGCGCTAGTGAGCGCCGTGCTCACCCTGTTGTACTTCCTGTGCTGCGGGCCGGACATGGACCAGTACGTTATGCTGATCAAATCGAACGCGTTGATTCTACTGGTCGGGGGGTTATCGGGAGCTATAGCGGTTATTGTATTCGCTAGCTGCGCGAATAAGAAGGGTTGGATGCCTGGCCACGATAACAATTTCTTTGGGTGGTCGTTCGCGTTGGGGTGCATCGGGGTGGTGGCTGCGTTGATAGCGTCGACGTTGCTGTTTGTCGATGGTCACGTGCAGCAAAGGAAAAAAGATAAAGTGAAAGATTCGCAATTGAAGTTTGAAATGGAACATTAATAATCGTTTTATGAATAATTTCCAATAGGTAAAAGTATGTGCAAACATGTTGTATAATTTCATTATATGATTATGCCAAGATGTCCTAGTTTTAGAATCAGTGCTATTCAATTTTTTCTGCAAATTCTTATAAATAAAACGTCATATAATATATCCGTCCAAATTTCAAGAAAAAAACCTATGCCGTAACAAATTCCTTCCTAAATCATATCTACTGTCTCGGATGCTTTTTTCTCTTGCATTGTTTTTAATAAACCTGCTTTCTACATCTCCATCGTCTTACTAACTTTTTCACGGGATTTTTCGTATTAAAAATATTGAATGATGTGAATGATGGCTCACTTACCTGAAAAATGATGGAAGAACGAGAACTATCTATATGTTAACATCATTATTGGTTGTACCATACGATAAAAAAATGGCGCCAAAGACGGCTCGGGAATGACAATCGATGATACTTTTGACGAGGTCAAGCCCTGGACGTCATTACTTGGCCTTTGTTCTTTATTTTTTAATTGTGCTTACAGCTGCCCTTAAGAAGGTTGTAATTTATTTTTATTTGGTTAAAAATGATATTTAAATGGTGTATTTGGTAAATGTAGTTGGTCTCGTAAGTAGTAAAATTCGAAAAAAAATAATTTTTTAGAAATAGATTTCTGAATGAAACGTTCTAATCTTTTTTAATCCTTCTTTGATTAGTACTAATTTTTGACCAGTTTATGCCAATTTTTAGTAAAAGATATCTAGAGATTGACCTCGCCAAAATTTCGATGATAATTTTGTCATTCCCAGCCCTCTTGACGCCCTTTTTTTCTATCATACGGTACCTTTGTCCATGCAAGTATATACGATTAAGGAACTTTTTAAGGAGAGCTTTTTTTCAGCCTCTCTTTGTTACCAGAGAAATTTATTGGCATTAACAGCAGCTTTGCTGAATTTGTAAATAGTATCATTTTTGATTTGCAAGAGAAAGTGAGATTTTGATGTAATTTCTAAAATAAAGTAAAATGTAAAGTCCCTACGGTATTTAAACTAAATAGTATTGAAGAAAAAAAGGGGACGCCACTGTTTTTTTTAAATAAATTATTAATTTAATTAATTATTTTTAAAATCTACATTAAATTTGGAACAAATTTGATCTCTTGATTTTTTTTCGTACGAAGCACCGTTTTTGCGTAAAAAAATAAAAACCATTTTCATACATGACCAAATCGGTAAATTTTAATGTAAATTTTTATAGTAAAATTTAAAAAACGGCAATTTAGATTTTTGGACATTTTGGTTCGCACTTAGGTAATAAAAACCAGATTTTGGAAAATAAAAAATTAATATTTTAAACTTAAGTTTGCCGTTTTAAAAATTTTGCCATTGAAATTTACGGTAAAATTTTAGTGATTTAGTCATGTATGAAAATGGTTTTTATTTTTTACGCGAAAACGGTGCGTCGTACGAAAAAAAGTCAAGAGATGAAGTTGTTCCAAGTTTAATGTAGATTTTAAAAATAATTTTTATTTAAAAAAAAACAGTGGCGTACCTAACCTAACACAATACACCAAAACACTTTTACTTTTACACTGGACTCGCGTTTCGCTAACCATGTTAGCATCATCAGAGATTAATTGATGATTAAGACTAACAATTTAAACATTTTAAACAATATATTAGAGTAATAAACCATACTTTTACCTATTTGAATTATGTTACATATCGAATATTCTATACATACATAGGCAGCATTGGTTTTTAATTTTCAACAGCACACATGCATTTTATATACAACTTTTTTCTAGAATTTTTTAATAAACAACCCTAGATATAAGTTTATTCTATTTTTAGTTTTTGATTCCAGGATTACCGTCAGCTAAAAGTATAGGAACATTTTATATAAAATTTATCGAAAAATAAATATGAACGACACATTTTAGAATATGTATTTTAAACTAAATTTAACTTAATCATTTTTTTTAATGGTTAATAAGAAATATTTGCAATATTCATTTTTTTAAATTTTTCTTTTGTTTATGACTTTAATACTTACATTACGTGTTTGTATAACTTGTTTAAAATTGACTTTGGTTTAGATCATAATATGAGATACTCTCATAGAATATTAAGCAGAACTACCATATGATCGGAAAAAATGGCGTCAGCGATGGCTATATGAAATGAAGATCGCTGTCATTTTATATGTAAATTTATATGGGAAATGTCATCGATCGTCATTTCCCAGCCGTTTTTTTTTCGATCATACGCTACTTGTTGTACTACTACTGTTTAATAAAACTATCCAATCAGAATCGAATTTATCGATATACAATTTAATTGTTATCAGGGGAGAAAACATATTTATATCTAAAGTGGAACTATACAATGTAGTTTTATATAAGTCATTTTTATTAGGCTTTGAAATAAACATATTCATCATTACTAAAATAGAAACTTGAATAGACTATATTTGTTAAGAGTAGTAGAAATCTACAATTTATGCAAACTGATATACAGTGATGGCCAAACTGTTCTAAAAAATGTAGCTGTGGGAAAGTTCATTGAATCAAAATGCAACATGATCAATAATAATAAAAAAAATGTGAACTTTTTGGCCACTGTATTATTTTAGGCCAGTAAGCGAGGATAAAAATAGGGTATTACCTCCGAATTCTTGACACCTCCACCGATGGACATGAAATTTTTACAGTGAATAGAGATATATGTAAGAAACAAAAGTTACATAGTAGCGATGTGTGCTTTCACCGTGGGGGTGAGTGCCACTCCTTTTCGGGGGTGAAAAATAAATCACCCATTTTAATTGCAAAAATCAATAAAGGGTTAAATTCTAACTAAAACATGTTCTATAACATTTTTTTCAGAAAATTAATATTTTCCTAGTTATTTAGGATTGAAAATGTTGATTTTTGATCTAAAAATTGCATATTTTTCTGCCATTTTTTATAAATAACTCGAACACCTTACGTTTTCTTGCAAAACTCATATAAAGCAAAAATAAAGCTTTTGGAATAACGAATCGACTCGAATCGAACGATTTTTTGTTGATTACCGTAGGTGTAACAATAGCCGAGTTATCACTCTGTAAAAGTGATTTTTTATTTTTCGAAAACTAAATTGTAACATTTTACCGTAAAATAATGGCGAAAAAACACATTTTTCGAATAAAATGAACATGGCCATTTTTAAAGTGCTTGAAAAGACCTTTTAAATGCTTTTTTAAAAGGTCTTTTCAAGTTCGTAGATCGAAAAGTCGCGGAGTTACGATAAAAATAAAATGGTCACCTCATTTTTTAGAAAAAAAAATTAACAAGAAAATCTAAAACTAAAATCATAAAAATAAAAACTATCAATTTGTAGGGAATTACACGAGCTACAAATTAACCTCTATAGTTGAACAGTCTTGAACTCTTCATTTTTATGAGATTTTTGGGTTTTAAGGGCTCAAAGAAGGTGGTCCTTACGCAAGTCAAACTAAAAAAAAAAATATCTACGAAATAAAGGGATCTACAGAAAATTGAAAGAGAGCAAAAATATTGCAAAAAAAAGACCTTTAATTTTACTCTTTTGCATGTTTTACGTATCTTGCTTAGTTTTTGAGATATGTCAAAAAAAAATAATTTTTTTAAAAAATAAAAAAAAATGTTTTTCATTATTTTCAACTTTTTTCCAGATTTAGGCATTCTAAACCGCTCGAAATTACAGAACCCATTGTTAGTACCTAAATATAGCCAACTGTACATGTATTACGCTTAGTTTTTATTTGTATGATTTTAGTCATATATTTTCTTGTTAATTTTTTACGAAAAAATGAGGTGACCATTTTATTCTTATAACTCCGCGAGTTTTCGAGGTACGAACTATTTTAAAAAACTGTTTAAAAGGTCTTTTCGAGCACTTAAAACGGTTATATTCATTTTCTTTGAAAAATGTGTTCTTTTGCCATTATTTCACGGTAAAATGTTATAGAACATTTTTTGCTTAGAATTTATCCCTATATTGATTTTTGCAATTAAAATAGGTGATTTATTTTTCACCATCGAGAAGACGTGGCACTTACCCCCAGGGTGAAAGCACACATCGCTACCGTGTAACTTTTTTTTCTTACATATATTTCTATTCACTGTTAAAATTTCACGTTAATCGGTGCAGGTGTTCAGAATTCGGACTCTAGAACCCTCGCTTACTGGCCTATATATCAATGGCCAGAGCATAATTTTAACTCACTTCAACGTCATACTCCAAAGAAATATTGTTTGTTTGTATGTAGGTAGTTATATAGTACAAAAATAACAAATGTGAAAGTGGTATCGTTAAAAGTGTAAAAGATGAAAAATATTTAACGTTGTTTTTCTCTATAATATAAGAGGATCATCTTTATCTACTCTAATTGTAATTTAATGATTTCTAATAGAAATTCAATGTGTTCATTTTAGATTTCTTATTATGTAGACAGCTCTAAAACACTTAGTCTTGTGATAACTTGCTATATTAAAGTGCTATTTTGATTCCGTCCAAATATAATTATTATACAGTAATCAATGTTATATGCGCCATTATGATTATTTTATTTTAACTTTATTCTATAGATTCCGCTAATTTAATTAGTGGGAAAAAGCCTTAATTGAATTAACTTTGTTGATATAAGCATCAATTTTGTATTATAACTTTTTATAAATAAATTAATTTACCCCTAATAAGTGCTAATTTTATTTTCGTTATTAATTTTCCCACATAAATAGAGGCATGGGAATTGTGTTTATATCTTTTTGAAATAAACAACAGAAAATAATGCGTCACTATACTGGGTTCGTCTCAAAAGTGGCTCACCCCTGTAACTTTTTTATTTTTTCAGGTAAAACAACGAGATTTGCTATGTTAGTACCAAATTATATATTAGTTAGTTTGGTATATTACATAAATTGGGATTGATTGACGTATTCCATTGTTTTTGGTCACTGCCGGTTTCACCGGAAATGACTACAACTTTTGATTTTTAAACGACACCCTCGGTATTTTTTTACTTTATTCGATAGAAAATGACACTCTGAATCGAATGACATATCATATGTTAATTATTGACGTAGTCACTCAAAAACAAATTCTATTTTAAATTTCAATCTAGAGTGCCATGGCTGTGTTAAAAACACTAATTTTTAATGAAGGAGCCTTGGAAAAATAGATTTGATCGTCTAATGTTTTTAGTGTCTTGTCCTGGCGGGTTAAAAAAATGCCCAAATCGTATTTTTAATCATATTTCAATTTTTCAAATGGAACGAGGGTGACTCATTAGCATATTTGGAAAAAGCATTTTTTACGAATAATTTGATACCACACACTTGGTATTTCGAGTCCATTTTTCGTTACGAACCGCAAGTTATAATTTCAAATAAACCATATGCGAAAATGTCAAAAGTTGACATATGACGTGTCATTCTATTCAGAGTGTTATTTTCTATCGAATAGAGTAAAAAATATTGAGAGTGCCATTTAAAAATCAAAAGTTATAGTCATTTCCGGTGAAACAGGAACTGACCGAAAACAATTGAATACGTCAATCAATCCTAATTTATGTCATATACCAACACACCAAATCTCGTTTTTTTTACTGAAAAAATTAAAAAGTTATATGGGTGAGCCACTTTTGAGATGCACCCGGTATGGGCTTGGTGTATTCTCCGCCGGTGATGCTAACAACGGATTTTTTTTATTAAAATATTGATTTATAAAAAGTTTTATATTAATTTTTAACTTATGACATATAGTGCTAGTTAGTGCTAGTCCTGAGAAAATTATTTGTCCTTTTAAAGACCACTTCTGAATGCCTTTTTTGATCATTTTTACATTTATTTTCCTATGCCTAATATCCCAAATACTTAAAATGAAAATCGAAGTTGGACATGCAAATACCTATCTATCAAAGAACATACAATAATATACAATCGAGAACATATAATAAATCGAGAAAAAAAACCATCACAGTGGCCGGCTTTTTGAAATCAAAGTCGATGGCAATATAAGTCGACCCCCTATAGTTGCTTGAGTTGTTATTTATTAAAAATCTACTATGGAGTGTAGAGGTAAGGAGAAACAACTCCGTGCATTAAAAAATGGTCAAAAAAAGGGAAGAATTAGGATGGCGCTGCTGTAGCAAAAACCTAAAATTTAAGACATGCGCCGAACATTTTTAGAACAGCTGATTCTCAAAAGACATAAATATTTGACGTGAATCATATACGTGAAGCCGCGGGTTTCAAAAAAATACAAATTTATTTTTATGTCACATGAAATAAATTACAGATTTTTATTCAGCAGCAATAGACTAGGCTCTTTTTTTATTGCTCTCATAAGTTATTTCGCAAATGTCATTCAAGACGACGAAAACATTATTCTGATCGTTTTAGCTTAAAATTAATGTTAATTATAATTAAGAAAAAAATTATTTAAGGTAATAATTGGTGATGGGTTTAAAATAAATATAATGCAGCTTTAAAATAACTTCATACCCACATTTATTTAGTATAAAAGTAAGTCAACATGCGGTTTTATTATCAATTATTCAGAAGCAATAGACTGAGCCTCTTTTTTATTTTTTCTCATAAGTTATTTTGTAAACCTCATTCAAGATGAAAAAAAGCTTTAGTTTAAAATTAATGTTAATTATAATTAGGAAAACTGTATTTAAAGTTTAATTGATGATATGAGATTTAAATAAATATAATGCAGGTCAAAAATAACATAACACATTTTATTTAGTATAAAAATTAAGCCAATATAATGTAATTTTATACTGTACAAGTATTTATTTACGTTTTGCCATCGTAGTTGCCATTCATTCAGAATAGTGGATTTTAAATGTTCGATAGTCGGATGGCTTAACTACCTTAATATCAACTACTTCTAGACAAGAATCGTGTGCAGTATTATTTTCTTTTTCACTCCCAGCTATTCCAACATGGCTTGCATGGCTTGGGACGTGGAATAATATAATTTTATAGCCCTTCCAGATCCTCATGTCTTCCTTGTAGTTCACCCAATAGAATCGTCCTCGCAGCTTCCTCCCAAGTTGGTAGTTGCTATTCATTCAGAATAGTGGATTTTAAATATATTTGGTAGTCGGATGGTTTAACTATCGTAACAATAACTACTTTTAATAATTCTTTTTCTCAATTCTTTGCACTATAATTTGCATCCCACGTATTGTAATATTTTCCTTTGAATTTCGTTTCCTATTGTCCCACGGCTTGAGACGTAATGTTATAGCCCTTCCAGATCCTCATGTATATGTCCCTTTTCCTTGTAGTCCACCCAATAGAACCTTTCTCTTAGCTTCCTCTCAAGTTGGTAGTTTCCATTCATTAAGAATAGTGGATTTTAAACATGTTTTGTACTCGGATGGTTTAACTACTGTAACATCGTAAATAAATTGTATACCAACACATAATGGTCAAACTTCAACAGACTTTAATATTCATAAACCTCATCAGAAGAAAATATTTTTTGATCCAAAGTTTTTTTTTCGTTATTAGAATAAATTACCTGGAATTTGTTAATTCATTACAACATTGAATAAAAGATGCAAAGTGTTTATACATACTATAATAGATAAATCTTCATTTAAAATTATGTGATAGATCTGCTTGCTTGTAGGATCTAGACTGATAAACTCAATTTCTATTATTGATATAACCAATAAAGTAGTAATGCTGAAATTTTGTTTTTGATTTGTGCAATAAGGTCCATTATTTCCATTATTTGATGCTGTTATTGCTCTACAAAATGTTGATCGCTATCAAGGGATGTTTATGTGTATAATATTACTATTTATGTGTATAATAATACTGTATGATCGAAAAAACACGGCGTGCAGTTGGCTTGGAAATGAACATCTCGATGACATTCTCCATATCATTTTACATATAAGATGACAGCAATCTTCATTTCATAGGCATCGCTGACGCTGTTTTTTATTCAATCAAATTGTACTTACATATATAATATTCATTTAATGGTTCCTGTTTTAGTTGCTGGTGTTCATATTTTGGTTTTTTATTCTGTTGTTGCTCTACAAAATGTTAATATTTATGTGTATAACATTACTCTTTCTTTGTATAATAATACTTATGAGTATAATATTCATTTAATGGTGCCCTTCTTGCTTGTTGCTGTTGTTGCAACTCAGAATTTAAATTAACCTGAGGCAGTAGGTAGAGCTTCATCCTCCAACATTTTCCTATGTAAATACTGCAAGTGGACAGTATTTCTGATGACAATTTTATCATAAACTTTAACATCTTGTTCTTTAAAACGAAACTGCCATGCCTTATCTGTAGATTTCAAAGCAATATCTAAATGCTTTTGACCATCGCTGTAATCTAATTCTTGTTTGAAAATCAATACGTAATATTATCCTGATGATTTTGATTTTTGATAGATTATTAAAATACAGCACTTACAGTTAACTATATTTCTTGAAAGTACCTAGAACTTTATTTATTTCCTACTTTTATTTGTTTAAAAAAATGCCAACAATTTGTGCATGTCTGTCAAACTTTAAAATCATTAAAAATAAATTTTATTCAGGTTGTAACTTTATAAGGATTGTAAAAATATACTTTGTAACATGTATGTCAATAATCTTACGAAAAATGTTTACTACACTTTTGATTGACTCTAATTTTTACATATAATACAAATAATACAATACTGAATTATAATTATGTATTTTACAGGCTTTGCCTTTGTTCTTTATTTTTCCATCAGCTATTCAATCAACTTCGCACCACACACACTTTAACCATTATTAAATAATAAATAAAGCACAAAATATTGATAAACAATAATTATTTTATATTCTAAAAAATAAAAACAAAACTTTTTTTGGGTAATGTTTGGTTATATTTATTTTTATTCTCTTATCTATGGTTACTTTTCATTTTTTAGATTTATGCGTTTTTAGCGCCACTGTGGTCATTTGGCGAACCCTTATTCTTCCCATTTTGTGACCACTTTTTCAATAAAAGTCCCATAAGAGTTATTTCTCCTTACCTCTACACTCCATAAAATCTACATAGAGCCCTGTCATCGATTATCATTTTGTGATTTAAAAAGCATATTTTTCAAATTTCAAATTTGCTCCTTGAAAATCAAATATGAAAATAATTAGTCTATGGGCAGTCTTACAGTAGTGATGTCTATTGGTGATGTATCGATACAGATATGGCTAATACTGTTTTTTACATGTCGGGGCAAATTATACCTTAAAAATGCAAAAATACCTAAGAAACGTCCTAAATAGCGATATTTTCGGATAAAAATTAAGTATCCAAGAAAGTAGAAATTATTTTTCCAATAATTTGGTTTAGTAGTTCTTTTGTACTTGTTCGTTACGTTCTGCAACATCACTAGAGTTTAACAACTATCATCTGTCAAAAACAAATGGGCGTTGACTTTTTGTTGATTATAAAATGTCAACAAACTAAACTGTTTTTAAATTAAAAAATAAAGATACAAAAAATACACCACAATGAGTACAGACTTAGAAAAAAATAATTATCCCAAAGCCTCAAGTAAGTTAAATATAAACATATCTAGATATTTTTATACATTTGGATATTTATATTCCGTTTATTTTAGAATACTTGGTAAATGGGGCACTGTTAACATATATCGCCGGGATGCTTTTGATGATTGCATTTTGCAGGTAAATCAAATTTTACGGAGACATTGACTTTACAGAAACTTATTCATTTATACATTTTATAAATTTCAGTCCATATTGGGTCAAGTCATACGATGAAACTTTTTCCAATTTTAAAAACATGGGCCTGTGGGAGTATTGCTTCCAAGATTTTCGTTACCCCTATTATCAATTTGACCATCTCTTTAATGGTTGTCATCATGTGTTTAGCCAGGAATATTATGTCATTAGAGAATGGTTATTACCGCCCTGGTTAATGGCTGTGCAAGCTTTCGTTACTATGTCCTTTTTACTCAGTTTTGGGTGTCAAGTAATTATGGCTATGCAATTGTGTAGGTGGCCTTTGGAGTTTGTTCTGAGATATGAATGGATTTTATCAGGAATTGACTTCATTTGCGTAACAGCAACAGGTAAAATATATAAAATTTAAATTATGCATAGGCACAACACAATTATAAAGCACAAAATGATAAAAGGTATTTCCTTTTACTATTTTTCCATTATTTATTTTAAATTTAGTCTTAGAATTTTTAAAAATTGATATTTGTAGCTATATCAGTTATCAAATGAACTGCAGTATGTCCGCGGATTGTCTTTATAAGAGGAAAAACTTTATTATTGACATTATGGTAAAAATGCATTCTTCATAAAAATTTTTGCTTGTTCTGAAATAGTTTATATCCAAAGATATTTAAACTCGGGAGATATAACGATCCATTCATAAAACTCTCTAAAGCTTCATCACACATTGGTTTGCGAAAATCAACGAGTGCAAGAGAGAATGGATAGAGAAGGAAATAGGGGTATCTGCTTGATGGCAACAATGTAGTTGTGTACAAAGATTAGACGTTTGAGATCAATTTCCAGTGGCGTGCCGATCGACCGACAGTATTTTAAGGAAATTAAAATAATTGTTTAATAAATTAAAATAAAATAATAATAAAACTTACATCTTACATATTTGTCGCATTGTAAAAAAAATGAGTTGAGGGAGGATAGCGAAATAAAATAAAAACCGGTATAATTTTTTATTATAAGATGGCTTTTCACATAAGAATAACGATTAAAAAATTAATAAGCGTTTTTTACTTTATTTTATTAAATAATATATTAAATTTTAGGTGTATTAGTAAATGCAGTTTCAATATCTTGTTCCAAACCTTGTTCGTCTCCGGCGAATGAGATTCCCTCTATTAGCAATAACAAAATAAAATAGTTATTTTAACCTAATAACACAATATTTTATATATAAAATAATACAAACTTTACTATTATAGACTTATATGAATTTTACAACTACAATAAAAAACAGTGAATAAAATTTAAAATGTGCCTTATAATTTTTATTAGTTCACAATTGTTCATTAATGAGGGAATAAGAAGTAAGAAAATTCAACATTTATTTACATTAACTTTCATTTTAGGGCTGTAAAACACAGTAAATCAGAACTGAAAATATAAGATGTATATTATACCGTATGATCGAATAAAAACGACGTCAGCGATGGCTATGAAATGAAGATCGCTATAATTTTATATGTAAATTTATATAGGAAATACCATCAATCATCATTTCCAAACCAACTGGACGCCGTTTTTATTCGATCATACGGTATGTGTATATCTAAACAAAATTATTTGATATTATAATACACAGTCATCAGAAAAGTCTAGCGATAATTTTACAAAATCATAAATAAAATAAAATGGTGATTATTTAGTAAACGGTTCTTAGTTTAAAAAAATATTTATTTTTTTTTCTCTTGTTTGCAAAGGAAAATTCATATTGTTTATAAATAATAAAAAGTGCATGTGCAAAGAATTTCAATACAATAAAATGTAAGAAAGTCATAAAATTCATGTAATAAGAACATTAATTATATGTATGTCAAAAGATGTCCATTTACATTATAGCAACCAAAATTTAAAACAAAAGCCGTATAAATTTTGTAACGGCAACAAAAAAAGTAATGCCGCAAAATTTCATCTTTGGTACACCCCAATAAAATTTTCACAAAAGGTAGGTAATGGTTTGTCAAACCCAAGTAGGTACCTAGATTAGATTTATTCTTATAAGAAAGTACGGTTTTTCGAAAATAGATGTTTATAAATTACAGGCGGTTTATAGAACTTAAATTTAATTTTTAACATTCAATACCCTTTCTTAAAAGGGAAACAGAAATTGTTATTAACTTATTGGTAATTAGTATGTACCATGTATCTTTTTTGTACAAATAATTTAATTAATAAATATATAATTTAAAAAACATAATAAATATATGATTTAAAAAATAAACCTAAAAATATAATTTAGAGATCTGCTATTTTTTATGTCTAGGTACGCCTCTGATCTACAGAGAATAGGATATAGTAATATACCTAACCCTACTTATTTGTATTTACCGGTGAAAAGTTAAATTTGGATTTAAATGATACAATCTCTTGTACACAATACATGAATGCACCATATTTTCAAATTAATGTCCACAGAAGTCCACAAAATAACGCAAAAATACTATAATACTGCAAATAAAGAATATGGAGCTTGATCGGCGGCATAGCAACATCGCAAAAGGAGAATCTAGGATTTTCCATTCAACCTCGAAATACGTTGTACTAGGCCGGCATATTTCTAAAACTGACGTTGCCAAACTGCTTTTTATTAAAAGAAACACGACCATGATATTTTTATTCCATGATAAAACTTAAAATAGTAAAGCAGTTAAGCATTAAATGAAAAAATTGACGTTAGCAAATTAATGTAGTTGATATATTACAAAAACATAACGAAATTATTTATTACTTAATAATTGGTTGTGGTAATTAATCGAATACTAATACCAATATACAGGTAAATCTGGCAAATGTTTTCGGTGTAAGGGAGATGGGAAAATAAGGATAGAATAATGGTTGATGAAGGAGAAAGGTAAACAATTGTATCTCTTGAGTTTAAATATCTTTGTTCATACCTTATTTCCAAATTTTCATACCGTTTTAGAGAAAATGAAAAAACCATGAAAACATGGTTGAATTTTTCAAAGTCCTGAAAATCAAAAGGCGTTTCTATGGTAATATCATTTCAATTTCATTCATTGATACATAGATAAAGGAAATAAATTTAGATTGGAATGCCTTTCAAAATTTTGGCTCGCGATCATTGTACGCGATCTGGCGCTGCTATAGCGGTTGCTAAGAACAACCACAAACAGAAATAATTTTCTTTTATACTTATAAAATCTTTCAAAATCTAACCCGCTCTCATTGGAAAAATTTCGAAGTGTTTAAAGTGTCCATTTTCAAAGTAATTATTGCTATCTTGTGAGTTTAATTTAAGTATTATTTACTCAAACCCGTGATAATTGTGAAAAAGTGGCATTAAAAATTTAAAAAGCTGTGCAAAAATCATCGTGGATCGTGGCATAACGTCGGTTTCCAATGTTTCATAGGTACCTATTTCATACATGTCCATATATAAAATAAAATTTCTTGTATGCAACACACTGTATTTTATTTATAGAATTAAAAGAAACTAATAAATTTGAATAAATAATATTTGGCGATATAATTCCGGAAAAAGCCGAACCGCTCCGATATTTTCCAAAGTTTTGGGTCGTGACCGTTAGGGGTCGTCATTTTCTTGACAACTTCTTAATCTTGTTTTGATTTCAAGAAAAGATCAAGACAAGAAATTATTTTTGGTTGTCAAGACAAGACAAGAAATTACTTCGCAAGATCAAGATTTCTTGACAAGAAATCAAGAAAATCTTGAAATTTCTTGAAAATATAAAATAAAAAAGAAGTACTCATTTATTTAGATATTTGTATATTACATGAATATCCATTAATTGATGGATAAAAAAAGTATTAAGCAAAAAATATTTGTACGAAGCGGCACTTTGTCGGATGTCCAATGTCCAAAGTTGACATAAGTACGTCCAACGTCGGATGTCCAAAGTTGGCATACTGTGGGCCAAATTAAATTGGAACCTTTTTTAATGCCTAATAATTTTTTAATTTTTAAATGTTTTTTTTTATAATTTTTTGGATATGTTATGGCTTACGATATTAGAATAACAAAAAACTTTGCAAAGCGGGTGGGTCTACTTCAGTGGCATACAGACTATTTGAATTAACGTAAACCTTAAAAAAATCAATTTTATCATTGTTGTCTGACTGTTTTTATCTGTAGTAGTATTATCACTGTCACTATACTGTCAAAGTCACTAATTAAACTTCTACGTCCAAGTGTCTGAGGTGGTAGGTATTCTGAACCAGATTCAATTACGAATGGTTCAGATTTGCTGTTTAACGAACCATCACAATCACCCATTTTAATGTTAGATAATAATAATTAACAAAATTATGTAAATCTGATGATTTTGGCTACTGTATGATGAGCCCAAAGTTTTTAAATTTTTTGAAAATTAGGAGCCCGACCCTCGATTATACGCATAAAGCATAAACATCACATTAACCAATCTCACCGCGACTTTTAAACAGGGGGTTCCCCTTTAATAAACAAATTTTAAACGGGGGTTCCCCTTTTGTCAAGATATCAAGAAATTTCAAGATTTCTTGAATCAAGACAAGAAATCAACTCTCAAGAAATGGTCAAGACAAGATTTTTTTTTATTCTTGAAAATATTTCAAGACAGGATAAGAAATTGCTTGTCAAGACAAGATTTCTTGTCTTGCCGATCCCTAGTGACCGTTGCAAGAATAGCGCCAAATAGTGTTTACATTGTTCTTATGGGCACTTTCTAATCTAAACTTGTTTCATTTATCTATGCTTTGATAGATGGTTATTGTTAATTTTGATTAACGTCATATTTTTGCTGTTGTTAAAGTGTCATATTTTCCGATAACAATTATCACCCTTTCTGTAGCATTGAACTAAATATATTGTGCTTTAACATTTTAAAACAGTAAAAATATGACTTTAATTAAAATTCTATCAATAACAATCTATCAAAAAATGAAAACGAAATTATATTAAAAAATTCAACTATATTTTAATGTTTTTTTTAATTTTCTCTAAAACGGTATGGAAATTTGTAAAAGTATAATTGGGATTAACCATTTTAGAGCAAGCAAAAATTTTTATGAAGAATGCATTTTTCCCAAAATACCAAAAAAAGTTTTTCCTCTTGTAAAGACAATTCGGGGACATACTGTATAATTCATATTGTTGCGAGCCGGTGTGGACTCGACCTGACCTCACAATATGGCCCGCCCTCGGATGACCTTAACATCGCATAGACACCGCAATGATTCATTCCTTCGAGAAGAATCGAGACCCACTAGAATGGACTCGTACATACGAGAACATTCGAAAACCTTCTCTATGCGCCTAACGATCTTTGGACTATTCTAGATTTCTTTTACCTGTCGGTATAAAAGCCGGCGGCAGTGGCCTAGAGAGGGCAGTTATAAATATACAGTTGACGCGCTAAAATTCAAAATAAATTCTTAGTTATAAAATCGTTTGTAAGCCAGTTCTATGGGGTAGTTTATCGTTATTTAGTTTGTTAATTAGTGTTGAATAAATAGTGTTCCCAAATAAATTGTGA